GAAGGCCCGTCCCAAACGCCGCCGGCAGGCCAAGCTGGGCCCGCTCCCTGCCGAACCGAGTTGCCGGTGGAGCGAAGCGGAGCTGGCAACTTGGTTTGGCGGAAGAGCGGGCTCAGCTTGTTGGCGACCACCGCACCCAGGCCAATCTGCAGCTGAAGCCTGTTACGCGAGTGGTCTGGAGTACATATAGCTAGCTATAATACTAACGCTGCCAGAAACGGGAAGTGTCCCTTGCACATTTCATATGTAATACGTGGTTAACGTCTTTGCGTATTGTAGCACAACCGGATCACGAGCCGTTTGCGGAGAGTCGTCAACAACGCCATACGTTCATATCAATGGAAGTACGCCAATGATTGCAACAGCGTATGGTGGCCAAGCAGCACTCTGGAAACAGGTGTTTGACATCCGTCGAACTAAATCATCATGAAAAATTACATCTATGTGCGCTCAGCAGCTTGAAGAAATTGAAATAATTCCGTTCTTGTCAATTGGAAACTAAATAAAGAAGCAAAACTGGAAGACTTCAAACGTCAGACAAACGGCACAACAATACAAAACGAACCTCCCACTTCCCACTCCCTTACCCGACGCAAAAAGATTTGTATGCTTTTGGTATGCTTTCTGTAAGCTATCGGTTCGCGGAGGGTCGCGCTCGGTGCGCCGATGGGTCGCCGAGGTTCGTCAGGCTCCTGGGCGACGTATCGCCAAGATTCGCCGGAGGTTCGTGCCGGAGCGACCTTTGTCCGTAATCGAGTCGCTCCATGCGCGGACAGAGCGACCTGAGTATGTTTTCAAGTCGCTCCGGGAGGAACAGAGCGACCCCAGTACGCTTTCGGTTCACCTGGAGAGCCCCGGGTAGTCGGGGTATTTTCCTTTCTAGGAAACCCCGGCCGGGGGCTAGCGCTAATCCATAGACCGGCGCACTTGAGAGCTGAAGAGGAGCACGATAGGGCGGCCTCGGAACCCCCGGAGCCCAGCGGCTCCTCTGCACTGCACACTGCACACTTTGGCAACTGGACACAGCGACCACGTCAGTCTACATACGAGTTGAAGTCGCAGAGAGAACGCACTCGTAGAGAGATTACGCATACCTCCGTACAACTATGCACATACGTAATGTACGCACAACTTTAAGCGATATTATGCATAATTACGTACAATGTTGTACACGAGGGGGCATCAACTTCGACTATTCACGGTGCACCCGCTGGTTA